GGGGCGCGTGTCTCGCGCGTACGACACACGGTTCGGATATCGACAACCGAAGAGGCTTTCGCGCCAGCCCTCCCTGCGTTCACATATCCCTTCTAGCCACACAATCTGTGTTCGTTCGCAGGGATCTCGGCAATACGAGCAACACTCATTTACGGGGGTATCGTGTTTTTGTTTGTGTTGCAGGCGCGTGTAATTACTACGTGTTCGGCGGAGCGACGGCGACGACTCACTCGTCGTTGCAAAACTTTGCTCTTCAACGGCGACGCGATCACAAGCCGGCGATTCTTCCCTCCGATTCGTCGGCGTCGACGTCGGCGACGATGCTCGTTCGAAAGTTCCCCTGCGATAATTGCAACAGCGTGTTCAGCCGGAAAGGTGGATTGACCTACCACCAGAAGTTCGAGTGCGGCCAGAAACCGCGATTTAATTGTCCGTACTGCGTTTATCGCGCCAAACACATCTCGAACGCTCGCAGACACGTTCGCAAGTGCCATCCGGGAAGAGAAGTGTATACCGTCGATCTCTGTCAACTGCAGCAGTAGCGACGGTGCCGTCGCTGTCCCGAAATCGCTCCCACGGAAGATTCCTCGTTCTCGAAAACGCTACCGTTCCTCTTGCCGCTCCTCCTTCTCCACCGTCTCCTCCGTCTCCTCCGTCTCCTCCCGCGAACAATCGAGGCGAACGTTTTCTTCGTCGAATCGCTTATTATTATTCGCGTTTCGTACGATTCGTCGCTAAAACACGTCGTTGTTAAAATTTTAATAACGTCGACGAGCATCGGATTATACGCCTACGCTGTGGACACGAGAGAGAGAGAGAGAGAGAGAGAGCGAGAGAGCGAGAGGGGGTACGTTGCTTAAAATTGTTCCCCGTCTTTCGCTTTTCCGATTATTCTGTTACTCGATTTTTCGCCGGAACGCGCGAACGTATTCGATTTACTGCTTGCTCCTTGGACGCGATAACGTTTCGACGTATATCTCCCTCTTCTTTTTCAAAATATACCAACTTTCGATCGATTCTATAATCGAATCTATCCGATCCGTTGAACGTTCCGTGTCTCCGTGTCCCGTTTTTCCGTCGTTGTTCGCCTCGAACGATCGAACGTTGCTCTCGCGGGTCGTTTACCGATCGAACTCGGCAGAGAG